CCTGTCACCTTCCAACATGACTTCCTGCTGATGAGCAGGAAGTGGCAGACCATCGATATGCCTTGGTGAGATACATATATGTCAGAGAGTTGGAGGTGAACTCCACGGAAATTGAGAGGCCTGCCATCTCAATAAAGTGTCTAGGATCCCGTGCCTTACTTTTACTTCCTACCTTAAGAAAGCAGCACAACTCTTCGTGGATCTTTTTTGGTTTTCAAGGTAACATATACCACGTTCGGTTTTGCTTCTCTGATTCATTTGCCAAGTAACCCCAGAGCTGCCAGTGTTAAGTGGGGCCCAGCCGCTGGTCCAGACTGTAGTGTAAGCAGCTGTGTCACTTGCTCCCTATGACCTAGCAGATTCAGGTGCTGAGAGTGTTTGTGGCCTACAGGGCTAGGGCTATCTGGATGCTTGCCGACACCTGTGGCATGCCTCAGTAGGAAAATTATAGCTTGCACCTCCAGGGTTTTTGAGAAAAGACAGGATGCATTTGCAGAAAAGTGCTCTGATTTTGAGAAACAGCTCTTGGATTTCTACTGGGCAAAGGCTACCGTTTTGGCTAGAGGCTCCAAGTCTTGCAAAGAACGAGATTTGGAGATCAGTGACGAGTTCTGGGGAAGAGGTATTTGGATGGACTTCTCAGAATAAGACAAAGGACAAAGATGTTTGTGTTTCATGTGACTGATCACCAAAGGGCACTCAGTGCAAAGGAGGTTTTCAGTAATTGGCTGGATGAGATGCTCTCCTCTAGGGATGTCAGTCAGCTTCTTTCCCCGGCCCCCTACTGCTCACTGGGTTCATAGACAAAGTGCCCAGGTAGCAAGGATGGGGGCTGTGCATGGACTCAACAACATGAACCTCCTCTTAGCAAGATTAATCTGGCTACTTCACAGGGGAGAATAAGGCTGAGCCCCCACTGAGGTGCCATGCTCCAGGGGGTCCAGCAGTAACCTGGAGGCAGGTCAGTAACACTGGACTCTTCCCCATGGAGGAGGCAGCAGTTTGTCCTCCCTGGATTAGGCACCTATTCTGAATATGAACGTGCCTTCCTTGCATGCATGCTTCTTCAGCAACATTGTGTGTAAACTGACTGAATGCCTTATTTTCCATCATTGTATCCCATACAAGACTGCTTCACATTATTTCGCTATAACTAAATTTATTTATTAAACAAATAGACATACATAAATAAGGTAAAGAGCACCAAATTTCCTTCTGTTAGCATACACTCCATCATCTAGAAATAGATGTCCTTAGAGAATGAGGGGGTGGCCTATTGGAGATGTTTGTTCCCTCATTAGCTAAGAGACGACACTTCACAAGGTCGGAGTGCAGTCTTACGAGATGTGATATATGCTCGTAATCAGTGACCAGTACTTGGTCCTGTTTCTTCTATATCTGGAAGCAAAGGATGGAAATGGGAGTAATATTTCTTAGACTCACACATCACCAACAAGAAAAAAATGTTGCTTCCTTTCCACAACTTTGGGTTCTACCAGGTTAGAGATCTTGGTAGTCAAAGAATGAATGCTGTCACCTGAAGGACAACAATGACTCATGAGCTAGAAATTCAGATTGCTCCTGGGCTATTTGGGGCTCCTAATGCCACTGGACAAAAAAAAAGGGCATCGCTATATTGGCTCAGGTGATCCATCCTGTTCATCAAGGAGAAACAAGAGTTGCTGGTTCCTAGTGGAATTAGGGAGGAGTATTTCTGGGACCCGGGAGATCCCTTCAAGTGCCTTCTAATACTGGCATGTCCAATGGCAAGAATTAATAGAAGACTAAAGTATCTTCTACCTGCAAGGCCAGGAAGTGCTCACGCCCTGCAGCAGTTGGAGGAGGTTTGGATCATAGCACCAGATATAGAATCTTGATGAGTTGAGGATGAAGGGAAGATGGAATGGATAGCAGAGTGAGAAAGTTATAAATACAGCTACTACCTTGTGACCCACTGCAGCATCCAGGCCCGTAGTAGCTACCCATATTTTCTTCCTTACTCAGTTGTGAATACATTTATATGTAAACCAATATTTACCCTCTCCTTTTCTCCTGCTATTTTAGATAGGGCAAATTGGTACCAATTTGCCTTATCATTCTGGTGCATAGGTTACAAAGATGAATTGGGATTGACTCAAGGGAAATATCAGCCAGAGGCGTATAGAGACTGCTGAGAATTGGCAGGAGTGGGTGGAGGAGAAGGCAGAGAAGAAGCACGCTTTCACCCGTGTGAGGGAGAGTTGCCTTGTGTTAGGTAGGCTGTGTTGTGCTACTACTGTCATTTGGAAGTTTAAGTGTGGGAAGAAGGGTATGTGTGGATGAGAATAGCCAGAAGGTCAGATGGTGGAGGATGCTGTGGATTGTTTTGCTCAACACTCATTTTAACGCCTTTATGCTAGATGGACTTGCCTTTGTGTACTGTGGAGGTTAGAAAGATAAAAACGGCCTTTGCACCTGGTGTGTTGGATGTAGCGTAGGCTCTGTCTAGTAGACCTACCTGCAAGAGTCTTGGAAGGAAGATGTGAGCAAGGTGAGGCAGCCTCCACGCATATGGAGACCAGCCCTTCCTGCAGGCACAGCACTGGAGGCATATGGAGGCGGTCCTAGTGTCTTCTCCAAGGCATCGTTGCGCCCTAGGTGCTGAGTGCTGGGGAGCAGAAGCAGTGGGATTTCCACCAGAGCAGCCTGGGGGTTTTGTTTCTAAATCTGGCTGCTGACGTTCCTGGCTCTGTAGCATTGAGCCTTTCCCGTGGTTTGAGTAGATACTCTGTGAGCTGCCTGTTGCGTCTGCTGAGCCCTTTCCGCTTAAACAACCAAGAGGACTTTCTGTGGCCTGAAACCAAGAGCCCGTTTGACACAATAGGCATTCCAGACCGTTTGGATGGATGGGTGAATGAATACGCGATGGAAAATTGGGGGGCAGCTTCCCTCCCAACTAAATGGCCCCAAACTGCAGTCATTTTAGTTTGTGTTTCTTCTTCTTTTCTATTTCTTCCTTTCGTATTAGTTTCTCACCTTCCTTCTCTGCCTTCACTCTTCTGCCTCTGAGAGTGCCAACCACCCTCATTTGCAGTGGCTAAACTGCTAAGAGCTAAAAGCTGTGCCCTAAACTGAAGCGAATTCTAAGGAAAGGAAGATTGGGCCATGAGCGAAGGCCTTTCCCACAGAACAAAGCGCATGCGTTTCAATGCATTGGTTCCTGACCACTGTGTTAGCCATTCGGGTGCCTTTTTGGCTCTTTGTCAATATGCGCTGATGTTTCTAGAGGTTCAGTTACCCCAGACCCTGACACCTTCCTGAATGGAGCACAGTGGGATTCCGTGTTTTCGAATCGGACGGATTTTTCCATGCCTGTCTGTTTCGCCTATTTAAGTGATAAAGTTGCCGCCTAAAAAGGAATTTTAAATGGTGAAAATAATGGGTTCAGCCTAATTTGTATTGTATTAATTAAGTTAACTCTATTATTGATAGGCACTTGATGTGCACTGATCATTATCCTTAGATAATCTTCTTTCCCACCATTACTGACCTTTGAGGGGCCCATCGGCTTCTTGCCTTTCTCCACCCGCTTGTGGGAGAAGTCTTTGTGGGAGCTCCCACACAGGGGCATGGCTGAGAGGGTCGCAAGCATGAAGGAGGAGCGTGCTCTGGCACCACTGGTTCAAGGAACCGTGGGCTCCTTACTCATCTTCCACCATGCCCTGCTCTTTGCACTTCTGGATTTCCACATACGACGACCCTTGAATGGAACTGATGAAAGGGGAAATCAGCTTGGTGATGAACTTCCCTGAGCACACAATTGGCACAGGAAGGATGGAGCCGGGAAGTGTCCGTCACGGAGGCCCACGTGGAACCCTTCCTAGAGCTTATTTTGTGTTGCTGGAGTTACCGCTGTGTAACAGCAAGTATCCAGGCACCTCTAAACGTTCCTGTTCTTGCATATACCAAAAAGCCATGGCCATCGCCAAGGTCAGTGATACTAAATAAATGTAATGGAAGCTTTAACTTCAGGGAGGACTCGGGGGGTAGGATGGGGAAGGGGGTCAGGAAATCTCCACAGTAACAGTTTTTAGTAGCAGGAGACTGATGAGAGTCGTTGCCGGAAAAAATGGCGCGAATTGAAAAAGTCATATAAGGAAATGTTGGGTAAATGGAAGCTGAATTGTGGCAGCTTTGAACTTGGAGGAGGGACACAATGGCCTCGTACAGATGTGGGGTCTGAGGGGTCCTGTCTGTCCTTAACCTGCTGGCCCTCTGTTAAAGCCCCCAGACGGTAGGGCATCTCAGAGAAGATTATTCCTGGAGAACAGCTCACTCCACCACGTGCCAGGTGGGCTTGGGGAGTAGACCGAAGCTTGTAGGCCACTCTGGTGCATGGTGTGATGTCATGCGTGCAAAGGACTCGGAGCAAAACTTGTGGACAAAACCCTGGAACGGGTGGATTTTAGACGTGCTGGTTGGTGGTCTGGCTGGGCTGCTTGTTCATTTTGATGCAATTCACTACCGAGTGGCTTGCAGTGAACTGAGCTGTCAGCTGTACAAGCCCAGGAGAGAGGCGGCTGAAGCAAGGGTTTAAAATGACTGCAACCTTAGCGAGTGTAGCAATGTCCCCAGTGGAGAAGCTCCTGCAGCGCGGGGTGGAAGGTCGGTTGACCACACCCTTATCAGCCTCTGTTATGTAACTAATTGGAAACCAACTATGTAATGTGGTATATGTACTATTATAACTATCTTCCATTTTGCATCTTAAATGAGACCAGGACTTGGTTTATTCCATTAGTCAAATATTCCTTTGTCCTTTAGATATTTGTGCACTTGTCTCTCTCAAAGAGGAAGTTTCTGGAGGCACGCACTGTGTCTGGCACGTTGTCATGCACACGTGGTGTCTCCTCCAGTGTCTCAGAGGCAGCAGGAGCTGGTCGGTGATTTGGGGCGTGAGTGAAAGACTTTTACTTCACCCATGGATGACGTAACGCCCCTCTGGCTTTTCCCCCCTCTAGTTGTGCATGTCCGACAAACTGTGGGAGCAGATAGTTCAGTCCGCCTGTGACAACATCACCCCTGACATGCGGGCCCTGGCCGAGGACATGGGCTGGAGACAGATGTTCTTCACCAACAAGCTGCAACTCCAGCGGCGGCTCCGCAAGAGGAAGCAGAGACAAGAGAGCCAGAGGGACGGTCCACTTTAGGAACACGCTCTCCTCCCTGCAGGGAAGTAGGGGCCGGGCTGGGTTTCTCTTCTGTGTCCAAATCCCTCCTGTTTCCTCTGATTAGGAACGAAGAGGTTTTGCTGATCCAAGGTGCCATCTGGAAAGCACAGGGTACTTGCACACTAACGCAGTGCGCTGCCTGAACCACAGTCCCAAAGTCGTGAGGATCAAATCATGGCCCCAGCACAAGGGCTGCAGGACAGGAAGCCCGCAGTCCCCATCTTCCCCTCCCCTGACACCCACAGGAAGAGAGGCTTCTGCTGTATGGAAACAAACAATAAACCATTATTAGCAGGTTTTTATTACATATCTGTTTTATCCAGGCATTGGAAAGGATAGCTGGGTTTTTGAATTTTTTCCTGGTGTTGTGTTATCTGAGTCCATCCATGGAACAGGTGGCTGCTGGTCCCCACAGGGGACTGTGAGGGACAAGGCCCTCCCGGTGAGGGCAGCTGCCTTCCCAACTCTGTCCCGCTAAGTTTGTAGTCAGGGCCCCATCCTGTGGGCCCAGGATGCTAGGTTCCGTCCCCCGCAGATAGACACCCTCTGACCTGGCCCTGGGGTGTGGCGAGAGGGAAGTCCAGGCATCTTGTTCGCAGACCTCGTCCAGAGTCCAACTTCCCAGGACTTCACATTGTCAAATAAACCCATGAACATTTCTCAGACGGATGCTGCTTCCCCAAAGGCATGTGGACAGCTACCACTTTTATTACAAGGGTTTTAACGAACACAGGCTATGGGTAACAGTGAAAACTCGAGTACCGTCTGTGCTCTGCAACCTGGCAGAGGGGTGAAAACAGTACCCTTTTGGGGAAGGAAATTCCACCTCCCCAAGATGGGTTATTGACAAATTGTTTGCTTCCTGCACTCTCAGGATGAGTAAGTTTCCCCAGACATGAACTCACAGCAACAAATCATCTGATGACTCCTTTCAGGCTGCAGTGCAAACGAGTTTTCAACCTCCCGTTGCCTTATTAACCTTATCATTTCTTCTTCTCTGCAACCTCCACTTCGCTATCTAGAAAAAATAATACGTACCTCCCTCCCCCTCCCCATGCCAGAGAAATTTCCTGTGATGCAGCAGGACCTCCCGAAAGGTGCGGAAGAGGTGGACTCTGGCTGTTTTCTCCACCTAAGTCCTTCTGGAATGGCTCCATAGCCATGTCTTAGCGACAGATTTTTTTTTTTTAATTTTACTAAACCTGTGTTAATATCAAATCAGATTTTAACCCCCATGCACACACCATTAACCCTCAGTTGTAGATTTCCAGAGACATCCGGGGAGCCTGTCATGTTGTATCTCGATTTAGTCTAAGCACAGGGCAAAGATTTACCTGGGGAGAGCCCCAGGCCGCCTGCTCTGCCCAGGAGAGAGCCTGCCAGGGCAGTGCAGGGTGACTGGCAGGCAGGCAGGGGACACGTGTGTCTGCACCACCATGCTTCTCCCTGAAGTTCCAGACTTCACTCCTGGCCAGGTTTTCAGTGACAGAACATAGGGAAATGCCACGCCTGCACAACAATTGTGTGTATGCACAACAATTGTGTGTATGCACAATTTGGTCTGTTGAAGTAACTGTGTAAATATAAAATTACAACTCATTTGCAACATCGATGTGAAATGTCGATAGCTTAAAAATGTCCCGTGCCGTGTTTTATCAACTAACCGAGACTCTGTATGGGCATGCCTAATAATCCAGGTTCAGCATCAATCAGTAAGAACACAAATGTAGCCATTTGAAAATTGTTACTATCTCTATAAAATATTCTTAAAATAGATGCTGAAGGCAAATAATTAAAAATGAGTTATTAACATGTTGACTGTGTTAAATAATAGTTAAAATAACATGGGTTACTAGATTATTTCCGTAATTATTTGCCCTAATAATCTGGGTGCCTTATTACTTGGTTGTAATTATTTTTGCCAAACTAGGAACCGTATCATCAGCCTAAAATCTTGCATGGCACCAGCGTCTTTGGCAGTGGAAACATTTTACCCATCTCTGCCTGGCCTCATTTCCTGTGTTAGATCCCACATGACGATCCCATCGGATGGGAGTAGGCAGGATGGTCTTGAGTCTGCCTCTATCGACAGCTTTCATACTCATAGATAAGTCTCCTTTGTCAATGACATACCATTTCAGAGTGAAATGCTGCAGCATTTTATCGTCTTGCTTTTTCTCATCTTTTCAGTCAAAAATGTTTCTACTCTGTTATCATTTACCATTGTAGTTGGAAAAATAGAACACTGTTATTTTCTGATGGTTTATATGTTTTGTGTTACAGAACCATTTATTAACAACAGCAAATGTGACTAATTTATGAACTGAAAAAATAAATAGATTTTACTGTATGTCAGCTTCTATTGCTGCTTTTTTCCTGAACAGGTTGGCATAGGATGTGCATTAAACCTTGGTTATATGGAATCCAGAATGTTTTATTTTACTGAGATTATGATGGGGGACGGGGGGATGCAGGGGTTGGGACAATGCACTAGTCACCACTTATTGTTTTCCGAGCTGCTTGTGTCCAAGATGGTCATCAGCCCTCACTGCTTACCCCAAACGGACTTGCAAGATGCTGAAGAATAATATAAAACAACCTCATTAACAAACAGAAAACTTCAGTGCAGCATAGTTTTTTGCTCTGAGCTTTAGTGTAATGACTTTTATCTTCAGTTTGTATTAAGATGGTAGACTGTGAGAGAGTATCCAGGCTTTTCAACTCTGAATGGTTGGTTTCAACTTGAAATGAATGTCTTTGGATGTTAAAACGTTAAGTAGAGAAGGTACCACCACACTAAAGAAAATGTGCACTCACAATTAAAAGCATAACGTTATGTACTAGGTCATTTTACAAAGTAAAATTAATATCTTAGTTTTAACTACTTATTGTTTTTCTTTTTGTTTTTCTTTTTTTGGTGAGGAAGATTGTCCCTGAACTAACATCTGTGCCAATATTCCTCTGTTTTGTGTGTGGGATGCCGGCACAGCATGGCTTGATGAGTGGTGTGCGCCCGGGATCCAAACCTGTGAACCCTGGGCGCCAAACCTGAGCGCATAGACTTAACCACTATGCCACTCAGCCAGTCCCTATTGTTTTTTTTTTTTTTTTTTTGGAAGATTAGCCCTGAGCTAACTACTGCCAATCCTCCTCTTTTCGCTGAGGAAGACTGGCCCTGAACTAACATCCATGCCCATCTTCTTCTACTTTATATGTGGGACGCCTACCAAAGCATGGCTTTTGCCAAGTGGTGCCATGTCCACACCTGGGATCCGAACCGGCGAACCCTGGGCTGCTGAGAAGTGGAACATGCGCACTTAACCGCTGCACTACCCAGCTGGTCCCCACTATTTATTGTTTTGAAATGAGATCTTCCACGCATGGGGACAGCATGAGTTTGCCCTTGCAACGTGGAACCCTCAGGGTTGGGAGCTATAGAGGACTTCCTGATTCTCATGTTCCCTCAAACATAGATCTCCATTCAGAAAAGTTATTTTCAATTGGGAAATCTGTTCTACCCATCCAGAAAGCCTTAGAACCATAGATCCATGGTCACAGACTGAGTTGGAATAACCTTAGAAATAACAATAATAAGAGCAGCTTCCATTTACTGAGTGTCTACTGCATACTAAGAAATAAACAGGTAGTAACGAGTTTAATTTTTATAGCAACTCTTGAAAGTAAGTGATGCTATTTCTGTCTTATAGATCAGGGATCTAGAAACTATGGCACAGGTCTCATCTGACGAGCTTCCTGTTTCTGTATATAAAGTTTTATTGAACCACAGTTTATATATTTTCTATGGCCACTTTCATACAATGACAGAGTTAGATAGTCATGATACAGACTGTATGGCCTGCAAAGCCTCAATTATTCTCAGAGAATAAGTTCATTTTCCTGAGGTTTCGTAATTAATAAGTGGTTTCATAACTAATAAAACCAAGAGTCAAGTCTGTACTTCCTGAGTCTGTGTTCTTAAACACAAATGTCACACCACTTCTCCTCTCAGAGCCGACACCACGTTTGACCAGTGGAACTTGCAAAGGTGGTAGGGTTTGCCCAAAGTCACATTTGACATGATAAGGGAGAAGACTTTGAGCGTAATGTCAGAGACCATTCTAATCTAGTTGTCCAGAGAATATCCCAAGCTCTTGATGAACTAAATTATTGCTAATTTTTTTAATGATCAAGTATCTTAAGTTCATTTAAGTAATAAGTAAGGAGTAAATTCTTCTTCCAGACCCTCACACACTCTTAGGGAAAACTATGGAAAGGACTGAGTAAAGGAGTTGAATAAGGCACTCTGGTACTTTCCCAAACTCCATCCTCCCTTCTTCCTGCCTCTTTCCACCACTTGGGAACCAGTCCCTCCCAGAGAACTCTTACCTCTTTCTACTTCACCTAACAACAGAAGAGGCTCCCCAGTGCCAGTCTGAGACCGGCAACCCAGCCCCCACTGCTTCGCATTATTGGCAGTCCACGCAAGCTCACCTGTAGCACCTTCAATGCATTGTCAGTGATCTCTGCTCTCTGCCGTGACTCAGTTTCCCTTTCCGAGATGTCAAATGCTGCTGCTTCTCAGTCTCTGCAATTCAACAGCAGCATTCTCTCCCCACCTCACTGATCTCTGAACATCCTGATTCTGGAGACCTCCAGTCCACGTAAGCCACACTCCATCCATTATTATATTTAAGGATAGATCACTAGCTTTAAAAAGGAACATTAAAAATCTTGCTTTCTTTAAAAAGAGAGATTAGAAATCTTGCTTTTTTAGCCCACAGCTGCACTATGAAGCCCAAAGATGCTGAAAAAGACAAAATTGAAATCGACCAAAAAAAAAAAGTGTCAACATGAACCAAAATATGACTCAAAAGGTATCTTTTCCTTGGCTTTATGATGTTAAAATTTTACCTTTCTGGTACCTCTTAAGGTATGGCATCATTTTGAGAATAATCATTCGGAGTTCAAAGAAAAAGGAGCTGAATATTTTAACTGTAGATGTGATGAGTTCATTAAAAGCCAAAAAATTACTCATTACAGCTTTTCCAACCAGATGCAAAAGCCACTGAAGTGCCCTGCAGGGTGAGTGACCATACTGTACTGGAGAAAGGACAGAAGCCGGTACAGCTGGCAGTGCTGAATGTCTCCTGGATGGAGAGTCAGCAGAAGAAAGCACAGCAGCGCCACTTCCTAATGATACAGTAGCTTGTCAGATTAAAGATTTAGCTGCAAATGTGAAGGCTGAGCTAATACCTTTTCTGCAGAATTGTACTTTTGTCTTACAAATGGACAAGTCAATAGATGTGGCTGCACTTGCTGTTCTGCTTGTACTCATCGAGTATCACACCAGCTAGTCAAAGATCTTCTACGTGAAAGCTTGGAAGCAAACGCAAGCTGTGCTCAAACATTCAAAATACTGAATAACTTTATTGACCCTCATGGGTGTTCATGTTTGCTCTTATGGTACAAAAGCAATGGTGGGGAAAGCAAGTCAAAGCAATGACACCAAAATGTACCGGAAGTCATTGTATTTTTCCCCACTATGTGCTGTTGTCAAGTAAGGGCCAGATTCACTTGATAGCCTTGATGAAACAGTAAAAATGATCACCTTTTATTGAGTCTTTACCCTTGAGTCCACATCTTTTTAATATTTTGTGTGACGAAATGAGAAGTATGCACAAAGTACCTCGCTGCAAACTGAAGTCCGATGGTTGTCTGGAGGAGAAGCACGTGTGTAGCTGAGTTGCAAACTGAAGTACTGCTTTTTTCGTGAAATGCTGTGTCTATGTTTGGCAGACACATTGTTGAAAATGAGGCTGTCACTTCAAGGAAAATGACTGCAGTGTTTGTTGCCAGTGATAATATTTAAGCTTCCAAGAGGAAATTAGAATTTGGGGAAATTTATATCAAGCTCTGTGAGCTTGTCTGTCCACTTCTCAATTGAGATTTAATTCACATACCATAAAATTCACGCTGTTAAAGTATATAATTCAGTGGTTTTTATATATTTACAAATTTGTGCAACCATCACCATTATCTAGTTCCAGAATATTTTTGTCGCTCCAAAAAGATGCCCCCTGCCCATTAGCAGTCACTCCTCATTCCCCTCTCCTCCGGGGCTCTGGCAACCACTAACACTTTCTATCTCTACAGATTTGCCTGTTCTGAACATTTCATATAAATGGAATCACACAATAACCATGTGATTTTTAAAAAATATTGTATGAAATATCAAAACAAAAATATCCACAATTATCTGAAAAGACTATTAAAATACTCCCCTCCTTTCCCACTACATATAGGTATGAGGCTGAATTTTCTTCATATATGTCAATTAAAACCACGTATCACAACAGATTGAATGCAGAAGCAAATACGAGAATTCAGCTCTTTTCTATTACGCCAGATATTAAAAAATCTGTCAAATATAAAACAATGCCACTATTCTTACTAAAATTTTTTTGGAAAATATGGTTACTTTTCATAAAAATGTGTTATATTAACTCAGTAGGCTCATTATTGTTATTTTAAAATGAATACATAAGTATTTAAAAAATTTCTCAGTTTTGCTAATATGGTAAATATCAATAAGGATATAGCCCACAAAAACACAAGATCTTGGGGTGTTCATAGGTTTTCAGGAGTATGAAGGGGACCTGAGAGCAAAGAGTTTGAGGACTATAAATCTAGCACGTGGAGTGTGTATCTTTCCTCTAAGTAGACACACCCAGAGATAGTTCTTCAACCATTTCATTGAACGTCTCTGTGTCTTTTATTCTATCACAGTTTCATTTAAACAGATTAGGAGTCAAATTTCCCTTAGCTTTGTTATCCCCTTGCCACTTTTAGAGCTCTGCGATAGCAGCATCCTTCTACATGCAGACTACTGGAGGGCGAGCACTTTGCATAGCCTACCTTGTTCTTATAGAAGCCCAGCTTACACCTGTTGACTGGAAAAGGACCATGGAAGCAGAAAGACTTAGTAGAATAAAAATATTATTATACACTGTGAGGACTCCATAGATAGTAATTGACCAGAATGTTGTTTAAAAGGAAACAATCAATGCAAGAGAGTCAGGACAAGTATTTGAAATTGACTGGACTGTTTTACTCTTCAATATGTTGAGTGGGTTTCCAATTTTAGTGTGCATAAGAATCAACTGACAAGCACATCCAAAAGGCAGATTTATTGGCCCCATCCCCCAAGATTCTAATTCATTAGGTTTTAAGTAGCCCCAGGAAGGTGCATTTAAAATAATTTTGGACACAAGTTTTAAATGAAAAAAGCATTATATGCATAAGGAAAAAAGTCAGACCCACCCCATGCCCAGACTTCCCTCCCCAGAGCCA